ATGATCATGAAATTTAATTTATTTACAGCACCATAGCCAGCAACTGCAAGGTGGACAACGCGGTGCACCTGCATCTCGTCAACAGTCACCAGAGATATCGAATGCATCAACACCCACGGCAAGCGTGCACCCATATGCGCCACTGCAGAGTCCCACGCTCTCCAATAATAATGCGAACAACAATACCAGCCACAATCGGTATGCGGATTTGGGCGATATTTTCTCGGAGCTGGGCGAAATGAGCGCCTCGGCGCCAGCATCGGCTACGTTTAGTAAGCCGCCAGGGCGGCAGATACCAACACCCACATCTGGTGGCAGCAGCATTGCCATTCCGCGCCCTCCTTCACGGCGCTCGGATATGATTGCCATTGGTCCAGCAGCATCTGCGGCGGTTGCTGCGGGTGCAACAAACCTTGGACGTGGACGGATGAGTCCAGCGCCAGCAATGAATCGAGCGGACAGCATTGGCAGCCTAGAGTTTCGCACCGCCATTGGGGGCATGGGCTCCTCTCGTGGGCCGTCGCCACTGACAATTGGCATATCGGATACAATACCACTTGCTGTGGCATTCCATGAGATTATACACGCCTATTTCAGGGGCAGCGACGAGTCGCGCTGCCAGGTGAAGGTGTCCGGTGATATGATGCTATCATTCCCAGCCGGCATTGCCGGTCTGTTAGCCAATAATCCAAATCCAGCTAAGCTGGGCTTTCGCATTAAGCAAGTACAAAATCTGGAGAGTCTTGTACCCAACGGGAAACTTGTGCAAATGTAAGTGAAACGAACCCTGAACACACTCCCAACTCCCTGCTCTAATCCAACTCTCCCACAGAGATCGTCAACAGTCGAGCGCGCTGAGCACGCTGTTGGAGTTTAATATGCCTGCGTTGACAGCATTGCTGCGCAGGCAGGCGGAGAAAAATCCAACTGCCTCATATTACAACGTGGACATACTCAAATATCAGGTGCGCACCAAGCCGGGCGCCAGCTCGTGTCCCCTTCAGCTGGTCAGCTACTGGAAGTGCGAGCCGAGCTACACGGCGCTCAAGGTTGACTACAAGTACAATAATCATGCCATGGCCAACGCGTCGCCCTTGTTGAATGTCACACTCTCTGTGCCGGTGAATGGCTCCGTGCGCATTGTTCAGTCTAAGCCGCATTCATCCTGGTAAGTCGACCCGTCTGGCAGGAGTGCATTTCAGTCTTTAACTTACAATGCTTGTTATTCAGGTTGGGTGAATCGAATCGCTTGGTTTGGAACTTTACGGACATATCGCAGAATTCACAGGATGGCGGCGTGGGTACGCTTCGTGCACGGCTCGAGTTGAATGATGGGCCTTCAACGCCGGCCACGCTGGCCGCACAGTTCAATTGTGAGGGTACCACACTCTCGGGCATTGAATTTGAACTGCAAGGAGGCGGATATCGATTGTCCTTGGTCAAAAGACGTTTTGTATCGGGTGTGTATTGTGCATTGCTCTGCTATTGATAAAGTCAATTCTTATGTATTATTTTGCTTTACAGGCAAATACGTTTGCGAGGGTGATGGCATACGCAGCGGTGCCACGCCCACACCGCCCTCGGTCGGATCGACTAGTCCGTATTCAGCTAAATCGAATTAGTGAGACAATACGCTTTTCAAAACCCTAGCGAAATACGTATTTAAAAGCTGATAACTAAAAGAAGAAAATGACTACAAACAATTTTGTAATACGGCAGTAGGGTATTGGGCATTGAATGGATGTGGATGTTAATGGACTCACCTGTGTTTAGCTACTCTCCGTTTTTGGGTTATCATATAATGTATTTTTGTATCACTTGTACTGTTGAATCTGATTGAATTGGATGGCCTGTTTTAGTGTAGCCGTAACAACTGGATGTATTATTTGTTATATTTATATACACTATATATTATATATATATATGATATGCTTAGAAATGTATTTATTATGTTTAATTAAATATGATGTGAACAACCCGTATGTATGTAGCTATGTAGATATCTCAAAGCAACACACACTCATACACCACATAGTACAGCGTGTAAAAGAACGTTTATTTTATGTTCACTTTTGTAAACACAATCACACACTCACACAACACCAAATGTATTAAAACGAAAGCAAAATTTAACAGCAATTTGTTTCACTTATTGTTGTTATTTTAACAGAGCCTCGACTGTTATGTTAACAGATCGCGCGCCTGTGACTTATTTTCCCATTTTAAAAGTCAATACACAGGTTTTGTTATCGATAAATATACAGTTTTCGAAAATAAATCAAAGTGCGTAATATTTAGATGAAAAATAAAAATAACATAAAATAATACTTACTTATTCGGTTAGTTTAAATCTATAGAAGCTGTCTAGACAGCTATTTATGCTAACTCGCGCATCAGCGCACGCATAAGAGAAGGCCGAAAAATGTCACCAAAGCGCGTTGGCGCCGCTTTAGAGCGTCAGATGTTTTTCTGTTGCTTAATTAACAAAAATACACTCGCCAACACACATAACCACGTACACACACATACGCATATTAGCAAGAGAACATGACAGACCGGTTTCGCTTTCGGCGAGCCATTAAAAAAAGGAAATTAGCTGCAGCCAAAAAAAAAAAAAATAAATAAAAAAAAAATGAAATAATCGCGTGCGACTAATGAAATAGAAATCTAAAGAAATTTCGTGGGTGCAAAGTGTTTTCGAAGTTATGCATAGAATTTCTGCTTGTAAATTGTAGTTGAGATCTATTTTAAATGATATACCCATTGGCACAAACAGTAAACAGCTGTCGTTCGCTTGTCTGCGGTGCCTGTTGCGCCAGTTGTTTGTTGTTGTTGACGCATGACGTCATCATGGCACAAATTGATTTCAAGGTCGTCAGCCGGTCGCATTTTCATTTCACTTGACACGCTTTGGCTCCTGCCTTCTGCTGTTGCTGTTATGGGTCTTATTATTTTTGTAGTGTTATAAAATGCATTAAGCCATTAAAATGTTGCGGAATTTTTATGCACACAATAAATTATACAATTAATGGATAAAAAAACTTATTAGAACTTCCGAGTGATACATAGAGCATTTAAGTGCATRTATACGTTAACCATATAGATACATATATATGTATATACATCTTTATATGGGAAATATCTATATAGAAGTTGTCAAACGATAAGATTAAATTACAAAACAAATGTCGCAGGCAGCCATTGTGTACGTTAGAGCTACRACAAGTTTATATTTACTGACATACACATACAATATATAGCCTTATATATCTATATATATCTGGCAGACACTTTAATTGTTTGACAAAAGCGTCAGCCACAACAATTGTTACATATGTCTGTTGATATTTGCCCATTGTACTGCAGCTTGGAATTAGAACGCACTGGCAAAGACAATCAAAATATGGGCTTGAATTACAAACAGATGTTGCCAATTAAAAATAATGGCAAATAATTTATTTATTGGCCACATTTCCGGAATTACTAAAAAATATATTTATATATATTATGCAATTGAAAATTTGATAGGTGGGTAGTCCAGGCTTGACCGATCTCGTGGATCTGAAATATGAGCTCTGTCGATCGAACCATGTCTGTCCGTTGATCCTAAAGCCGTGATCTCTTAAACAATAATAGCTGGAGCTTATATGGAGCTTATATATCGTACGCAGATTCTGTGATCTGAAAAATGCCTCAAAATTTCTTAGAAGCGAAAGAATCGATATTTGGTTCTAGTTTTTCAGTCATAACTTTAAACTCTTGAAAGACCCAAAATTTAGTGTTCGTCTCGTTAGGTAAATGAAAACAATTAACATTTGCAAATTTTGACAAGCDGTTAACATTTAATTAAGTTAATACATACAGAAAGACAAAGGAAGATCTCTAATTAGTGCTGGAATTGAATAAATTATTTAAATTTTGCATAGCTCTAGCGCTGTATAAAGAACAAACTCAGCGGCTTTCTAAAACATCTGAGGAACAGGTGCTCGGAGCTGGGCAGAGTATCMTTTAGTCAGGCACTCTGKATTAAATAACTATTACACTATTTTTACGGTATCTAAAACACTAAGTAAATATCCTTAGATAAGAAGAAAAATATTTGCATTTGTTAGGGATATTTATCTTCAACATCATTGCACTTTAT